CCCCCCCCCCCCTCCCTTCTCTCCCCCTCCTAACTCCTTGATCGGTTACGTTCTGCAAACACCATTTAAATTCACCCACTCTCGTCTGCAGGCGCATATGAAGAAATGCAAAAAGGTCTCTTTAGCAGCTGACAGATTTATTCGCCACAAACTGCTTTAATTAAATACAGTTACAATGTTTTTAGAAGTTTTTATGCATTTTTGCATATATGCAAACGCGAAAACGCATATTGTGACGACCCCGGTGTGTGTATGTGTGTGTGCGTGTGTGTGCGTGTGTGTGTGCGTCTGTCCGGGTATTTCAACTCGGCGTCCAAGCAAACCCCGACGCCGAAATTTTGCCAGTAGGTTCCCTACCAAGTGCCACCTCAGGACCACGGTACCAACCCTCATGCAAGTCTGGGCTCCGCGTGCGAGGGGGTGGAAATTTTGGCGGGAAATCGCTAACTCGGGGACCAGAAAAGCTAGAAAGCTGAATTTTTGGGGTTATGCTCCACGCCCAGATATAACTCAAAGATTTCAAATTCAGCCCCTAGGTGTGCGCGGCTCCCGCGTTTGGCCCCGTGAGGGATCTTGGCGCGAAAATCGCTGATTTGGGAACACAAGAAAGCCAGGAAGCTGAAATTTTCAGGGAATGTTCCCAGTTTATGTACAACTTAAAATCATCGAATTCAGCCCCCAGGCATACGTGATTCTCACGTAGAGCCCCGTGAAATTTTTTGGCAGGAAAATAGTTAACTCGGGAGCCAGGAAAGCTAGGAGACTGAAATTTTCAGAGAATGTTCCCAGCACAAGTACAATCTGAAATTATGAATTCAACCCCCTTGCACACGCGATTATCATGTATGGCTCCGTGAAATTTTTTGACGGGAAAATGGCAAACTCGGAAAATAGGGAAGTTGGGAGCTGAAATTTTAAAGGTATGTTCCCAGTCCCCGTAAAAGTTAGAGATATCAAGTTCAGATCCCATATACGTGTAATTCTTGTACGGGCTCATGAAATTTTTTGGCAGGAAAATTGATAACTTAAAAATCGGAGAAGTTGGAAAGCTGAAATTTTAGCGGAGTGTTCCTTGTCCAAGTACCGCACAGAAATCAACTTCCCGAACTTCGAGGACCAGTATGTCACAAATCATAGCTACTAGGTTTCCGAGCGGTCTCATTACAGCACGAAATACTGCAAAAATGCATGATCGCACGGTCCATGCTTGCCGGTGCGATCATGCGTTTTTGCTGTGCAGCGCTACAACAGCGCTACAGCGCTGCGACAGTCAGCAAAAACGCATATTGTCGAGAGGCTGCCTCTGTGTGTGTGTGTGTCTGTTTGTCTGTGTGTGTATGTGGAAGCGAGCGCATTTTATCACCAACTTTCATCTCAGCAACCAGGAAAGCTGGGAGGCTGAAATTTCGAGTATTTTTCGAGTAAGATTTTCGAGTAAATTTCGAGTAAGAAATTTCCCCACTCCTCCCCTCCCCCCGAAAAAATATGCAAATTTCGTTGGCGGGAAGCGAGGTCCAAAGCTGAAACTTTGCCGAGATATTCTCTGTGTATGTTTGAGCCAAAGATTTCAAATTCAGCTGCCGCGCACGCTTGTGCAGCGCGTACGATCAAATCAAAGTCTATGACTTGGTACTGCGTTAACTCGAAAGCTTGCCGGAAAAAATTGACTGAAATTTTGTCAGGATCTTTGACTCCCGTATAGGAAATAGTATACTTAAAATGAGTACCGACTTACACTTGCGTCACGACTTAGGTCACTTTAAAAATATTTTTCGCGAAGTGGAAATTTCGCTTGCCAGACAAGCTGCAAGACTGTAAATTTGTTGGGGTATTCTACTTTCAAGTGCGGTCTTAATTTTGCTTGGAGGTGAAATTCTGTCCAGGTAGGTGTGAGAAATACTCAACTTTACTGAAAAATCAGGAACGTGCGTTTTGCAACGAACGACCGCTTTCATCCAAATATATAAATGAACATTAGCTCACTTGCATACTTGGATTTTTTCACAAACTACCGCTCAAGCAATACTTCCAGAAATTAGCATTTTCATTTTTTAAAAAGCTAGCATTTGCTGAAAGAACGACCGAGCTTCATGCAAAAAACTGGCAGTCATGTACCTGGAGGTCCATCCGGCTCTATAACGCAACACCCTCATCCCAATCGATGTCCATTCTGCTGTATGCCGGAAGAAACCAAAGCACGGTCGATATGAGTCCAAGTGTTTGGCTGCAGCGCAAGGATTATTCCTGCTATTAGCGACCCGCGAGTTAAGCGCAAAAACGCATGATCGCACCGGCAAGCCTAGTGCGTTTTAGTCTGGGTTTCTCTAAACTTGCAGATCGCTGATAGCAAGAATGACTCCTACTCTGAAGTTTAACAATTGGGCTCATATTGGCTGTAGTTGGCCTCTTTCCCCCATGTAGGGGGCAAGGAGTGCCGGCTAGGAAGAAGTTAGCTTCAAAAATGTTTTTAGCGAAGCGATTCACTTCAAATACTTTTAAAGTGTACTGTCGTGGAGCAAGTGCAAATCTAAACTGTATTTAGGTGTACGATTTTCTATATGAACAATAAATATTTCGACAAAATTTTAGCCACTGTTTTTCGGCTAGTTCTCAAATTGGCACAATGCCTGCTGCAAAATTTGACGTGATCGTACGCGTGGTATCAGCAATTGCGACAGCTGAATTTGAAATCTTTAGCTCACTCATGCACAAAGAATGTTCCTATAAAGTTTGAGCTTTCTGTGTTATCTGAATCACGAAATCGCTTCCCACCAAAGAAATGAGCACATCTTTTCCCGGGTTCCGTACGCGAGATCCAGGGCGTATGAGCGAAGATTTCAAAGTCAGAAAGTGATACATACAGTGGGAATATGACTCTAAAATTTCAGCTTCCCGGCTTTCCTGGTTGTAAAGTTGGAAGTGGGCGACAAAGCTCACTCGTTTCCGAGCAAATACAAACACAAACACACATGGACGATCTCTCGACAATGTGCGTTTTTGTTCGCTGTAGCTGCACTATAGCGTCGCACAGTGAAAATCCATAAAAAAGCGAAGTTGTTTATGTGAAAACAAAGCTGCATGCCCCTTTGTTTGCCGCTAAAATTTTCCAAAGCCCTTTTATAAAAACTCTGGCTGTTCCGTTACAATCAAAATTAAGCTAGCCTTGGTTAATCAGTGCAGAAGTATTACCGTGAGTCACCTAGGTTCGGTGGACTCCAGTAAGAGTAGAATGCTCTCCCGCCACCACGCTTCGGTTGCTGATAGTAGTAGTAGGGTGAGAATGTTTCATGCCGCTTATTGCTTGGGAAGAAATAGGTCTCAAAATCACGCAGTCGTGAAGGTCCAAATGCGCGTGCACCACCTCGTTTCTCCATCGGCAGCAACCGTCTGCAAAAAACAAATCTTTTTTAACTCCCAAATGTTGATTGTGTTAGGTTAAAGAGACTGTTTGAGGTCCCACTTTGCAGCATCCAGTGCTGATTAAATGCAGCAGCAACATTTAACCCACCCTTAACAAAGTAAAGTAGTTTAAGCCCTTATTATAATAAAATAATAAATAGTGGTGCGCAGCTGGGTAGCTGTTGCGATCATGCTTTTTGTGCAACTCTGCCCAGCTAGCGCCTGTGCAATTCTGCCCAGGAGAACTTTGCTGTTAAAAGTGTTCACTGCATTACTGTCTGATACTTGCAAAAATTTTTTGTAGTTCCGGAATTTTTAATTTTACGTCGAAAATTCCACTTGTCCTCGCATAAGATATAGGCATGTGGGGACGAAACTGAATTTGAATTTGCGGGGCTGGACGCTGGCGAGGAACATTACCGTAAAATTTCAGCTTCCTAGCTTTTGTGTTTTCCGAGTTATTGATTTAGGCGCCATAGCTTTCGCGTGGCCGTACATGGAACCTAGGCGCATGCACGTGTTGGAATTGAGTTTGCGAGATCAGATTCTGGTAGAGGACCCCTTTAAAATTTCAGCTTCTAGCTTTGGTACCTGAGTTGAAGCCCCAGACAAAATGCACTCTTAACACACACATACACACGAGCACAAACTCACACAGATAGGGCTTCGGCAATATGTGCTTTATGCGACTACTGCAGCATAAAGCCCATAATAAGAGGGAGTTAAAAGAAGAGATTAAAAGGGCACTGACGGAGATTCAAAAGCGCCAGCGGCACAAATTTGAATAGTGAGGCAGCTGATGCATTTTGATCCGTTTTTTTCTACAACACCCTCCACAATTACACGAGAAACTGTAATCTGTCTTTTGAAACATTCTCTCGGTATTATTTTGTATGCAAAGTAAAAAGCCTTGCGAATGCCACTGTGCTTATTTTCAAGCATAACAGCATTATCTCTATGCGCAAACATACATTTGGTTGTTTTCCGCATGTATGTAACTTTTTGTTTGTTTATTTGCCCGCATGTTTCGGTTTCCAGATCTTTGAAAGCTATGAAGCTAAAATGCAAGTTAGTTCACTACCATATGGATTCATAGATACAAATTTATCTTTGACATCTGCTCAGTTTTCACGTACCGGTATATGGAAGTTAAAGCTGATAATTTTGCAAATCCGCGACCAAATTAGCTACGGAGCTGAAATTTGTGTGCTTGGCCTCTAACTATGTTTATTTAATTGTATGTATAACAAACTTTCAAATTTCCCAAAATTTCGTCTACGGATGCACGAAAGTTTGCGCAAACAAATTTGCAGCTCTCTGTGTAAAAAAAAAACATATACGTGCTGTAATTTATTCCCCACTATGGCAAAAGCAAACTTTTCAAGAAAAAGAGACTGGCTCCCAGTTGTACCTTTGCATTTCTTCTACTTCCGGACTGACTAGCATCGAAGCATGTCCCTTTTCACTACCACCAACACCGCTGCCTGCTGTACCTGGAAAATAGAAATGTTAGCTGGAAAATGAAGTTTCAAATCTTTATAAGACAAATTCATGAAAAAGAACCAGTCTGATGAACAGTTCAAATAGTTAGATTAGACAACTGTGAATGACTGAGGAAAATTGCCAGATTTCAACTGTAAAGTTTTTTTATGAATAAAAGTTGCCTGCTATATTCTGGTTCTGTATCTTTGATTAAAAACAGTTTGCTGGAATTTTGAACAATAATTAATTACGAAAGGGGGTTTTTCCTGTCCTTTCTCACTGCCCCCAATCCTTCGAGTCTTCTTTCTGGTACTGAATTGCAAAAATTATTTTAAAACTCATTTGGAGTACTGTTTCGAAAAATCTGGACACTTTGGTAAGTGTGCAAATTAAATTCAGTGAGGTGATACAGGTCTGAATTTTTCTTTCTTTTGTCTCGTTTTGTTCTTACCCGTTTTCTTTGTCGAAAGTTCTTAATTCTAACAATTTATTTCCCTTCTCAATACTTCCGTTTTGCTGCATTACACTCTGACACAACAAGTAGATCAAGAATACAAAGGTCGACTGAATGAAAATTTTTTTATTCATCAAAAGACTATGGTAAAGTGTCCCTTTGAATAAATCAGCTCCAAAACTGAGTAAACAACAGGGATGAAGTTTTCGACACGGAGCCTGGCTTTGAAAGCGCGAATCTGAAATCAAATCACATTTCCCTCCTCCTCTCTGGGTCCTAGCCTAGGATCTTAGGTCTACTACATCCATTGTTTATGACTCAAAAACTACAAACTAAGCTGCTAAATCTAAAAAGCTATCTAAAATTCTGAAAAAAATTACAGTCTATAAAAGCTACAATCTGGAATTTTAAGAATTCATCAAGCAGTTCAATGCATATAATCTAAAATCATATTCTCAAGCATTTCTGTGCCCTAAATCTGTGATTTTAAGTTTAAATTCGTGTTGTTTATGTAATAACGTGACAAAGCTAGCTGAAAAACTAAAATTCTAGTATTTCAGCTAGCCGCAGCGAAGTAGCCTGGAATCAGTTTTTTGTAGTATGGGTCGTACGACTAATAGAAACGTGCTGGTTTTGTGATGTCAGGAAGCCATATTCTGAAAAATAGAAGTTCTTCACCGGTTATATACAAAATTTCCCAGCCGTTTTCGTCATTTAGTGCGTACTGTTATTTATTTGAAAGATGCCAGTTATTGCTTCATTTTAACTGACTCCTGTTTCGCGGCATCACTAATATAACGTATCTAATATCATTACAGCAAAGAAAGTCATCAAAATTACCACCGCTGTGTGCAAACACTTTTTTCTGCTACGTGGAGCAGCATGTTTCTAGTTGGTACCCACACTTCCAGTATACGTGCACCTCTTTCAAAGACATGCAAACATTCGCTTTCTTTCTTATTGTTGCCATTTACTAACTAGCATTCTTGCAAACTGCCAGCAAAACGACCCAAATAGATTTTACATCTTCGGCTGCAATGTTGTCCAGCAGACCATTTACTTGAAAGAGCGTCCAACTGCTTAACTGGTCAGGGAGAGACTCTCCAAGTATCCAAAACCTCCTCTTTTCTCTAAAACAGTCAGGCCTTCCCCGCTTTCATCAGCAGTCTCGTGCCGCATGTTTAGGACCTTAATTTAACAGGATCACATTAAAGACAGTAGACGTAGTCTTTCTGATCTAGCACTGTGGAAGACAACGGGAAGAGTATGAAATTTGCACAGATCAGTTCCCCGTTGTGCAGTTTATTACCGGAAGAAATTGCTGGACACACACTCACTTCCTGGTTGAAGCAGAGCTGCCGCTTCTTTCCAATAAACCTGCTTATCTGCAGACCAGTCGTAGGCATATCGGCGTTCTGCATTACCCTCGTTTTAGACATGTTGGCTTTTAGGCTTACTTACCGTCTCGTTTGTTTGGTTCCTCGCAGAGAGCATGATACTATCGTAAATGAAATGTGCTTGAAACATTCCCTGCTGGTGTTGCCAACATTTTTTCCAACCCTATTCATGGAACTCCCTGAGAGAGGCCATTACTTAGGAAATCGAGACTCGAAGCTGACCGCTAAAAGCATAAGCGAAAAACTGCTGCCTTATGTCTTCCTCGACTGGTATGCGCTGTTGACAGTCAGTAGCAATATTATGTGAAACAAAAGTTAGCGTCCGTGTTTTCACTGTTTCAGTGTTTAGCAATAAGACCTCGCAACACGCGTCCGGCTCGAAGCCATCGAATGCTTTTTCATATTGATATTTTGGAAATATTATATTTACCGTATAAAATAATATAAATAGAAGTTTACTTTATACACATTAACTAGAAATTGCTCGTTCAAAAGTTTCTAGGCGGCGAAAATTAAATTAATGCTGTCAACACTATCAACATATTTGTTGAAGTTATCAGCGGCAATCAAAAAGGCCAAGATCGAAGACGTCAAGTAGCAAAAAGTGGTACCAAGAGAAAGAAAATCGACATTTTGGGAAGTTATCAGAGGAAAGTGCATTTACGCAGCTGAAAGCCTGACGGCGTGTAAATTAATTTAAAACCCAGGCTGGAATGCACCAAGTGGGCCGGTGCGATTATGTATTTTTTTCACTGTTTCGTGCTGTAGCATGATCGCACGGAACTAGAAGGCTGAATTTGCAGTCTTTTCATCGCATATGAATAGGAAACATTCCATGAAATTCTAGCCTTTCGGCCTTTCTAGTTTCCGAGTTAGCAATTTTTCCATCAAAAACTTTTGCGTGTCCATACGTGAGTCCCGAGCCGTTCTAAAGAGCTGGATCTAGGATCTTTTGATCGTGCGTGAGTAAGGAACGTCACCCTAGAGTTTCTTCTCTCTAGGTTTTCTCATACCCGAGTTAGCAATTTTCTCGCTAAAGCTTTCATGTGTCCGTACGTGAAACGTAGACATGCGTGACAGTTGGTATCAGATTTCTGGGGAAGTGGGGCTCGCACTTGGCCAGAAAATACAGCATCAAAGCTTGGGTGGTTGGCGAATACAAATACCCGGCCAGACGAACACACACACACACACACACACAAAAACACACATACACAAGCATACACACAGAGTTATTGCAATAGGTATTTTCTCGCTTTAGCAGCAAAAACGCATAAAAAATCGGAAGTGCCACAGTGAGAATCTAGTTAGTTGCTGCGATGTCTGTAAAATTCTTGTGCTAAAAGGAGTCTAAAATTCTACAAAGTCGAAAATTTCTTAAGCAATTATTTTCGTATTTTGAATCTTTTGTTCACTGGAAAATGTTGAGCATTACTGAAATATGTAAGAGAATGTAACGCCCGCTAAATTGTTTGTTAAGAACCATTCGAGCGAAGCGATTGCAACTATTTTCTGATGATGTAGAAGTCAGTCGTTGTGATTTATTATTCATAAAGATATTTGTTGTGTTAACATATAAACGCTTCTAAACTACAAATGATCAGATGTAAAATTCAATCATATTCGACATATGGCTTGATGCTATTATAAACCATAACAATACTTCATTGTTATTGCAGCTCAGCCGCAGCTATTAGTATGCCTAAAAGATGAGGCCTTGGTACTCAGCAGGTGCTAGTAACATCTCGAAAAGGTCAAAGCTTGTCAAGGGCTTCTGTCGGAGGAATAATTGAGCCGGTAGTCCTTTCAGAAGACAAAACGAACACCACCGGTAGGCTGATTTTCGACAGGTGGTACAGCACTGGTCAGCCACATAACTAAGGGGAATATCAGCTGAAGGGCCATCTACAAACCCCAACAGATCAAAACATTAGCGTAAAAAACCAGTGAGTTAAACTAGATTTCTCGTAGAACCTGAATCAGTGCACAGGTACTTTAATAAACCAAACATTTTTATTCAGCTGACCAAATCTAAAAAACAGTTTGGCAGTGTATTTTAACATAAATCAATGAATCATTGTCTGGGCGAATGTGTGTGGTGGAGTAATTGTGGCCAGATATGAGTATGAATTAAGATATACTTTTGATCTGAAGGCTGAAAAAATTAATTGACCAAAATTTTAAACACAGTTGTCTTCGACAATACTCCCCACTACAAACCTGCTTTCAGTTCTGAACTTCTACATATTCAGATCACCAAACCTAGAACTACGAACTCCAAATTTTAGGGAATTTCAGTCACTGGACGAGTCAAAAATTAAAACGGCTTGACATAACTGCATTTTGAGACACCAAATCTCAAAGACGGGTGATCGCGCCGACACTCATGGGGGCTTAGGAGTTTGTTATTTCTAGTTTCTGTAATTTGATACGGCTGCCCAGCCAATGATTAATTCATTAGTTAAAATCAGTTCAGTTTGTTAAGAATCTGGTATCCAATACTGAGAGATGAGATGGTCTACTGGAAGATGGATAGGAGGAATCAATCATTTGCCCCTGCAAGTTCATCTTCAGTAGGTACACAAAATGTTGTAAAAGCCCATGTTTTCTGAAAAACTTCCAGCTGTATACGGTCTGCCTTCCACAGTGTTGCATACAGTCAGTGCTACTAGCAGGATGAGTGGAAAAGGAAGCAGATCGAAGTCGGTTAGAAGTCACAGTTTTAGAGGTTTTGCAACTATCACATTTCCAGTGACCTAGGTGCACTTCGCTTGTCTGTCCTAAGAATCTCACGACAGAAAAGCTGTCTGACACAGGAGCGGTAAAATGTGGCACGTTTGAGAGACGGAAGACCGCAAAGCCGAGAGGGAAAACGAGGAAAGGGAAACGATGAGAGTTTGGATGCTGCTTGCCGTTATTTAATTTGCTGGGAGAATAAAAAATTAAATTCTAGCTTCCAGTAAATAGGAACGAAAATCGAATATTTGGTGTTGAGAAGATAGCGAAACGAAAAGCCTTTACCTCACGCATCAGCAAATTTTTCGCTAAATAGTGTTTTCATTTTAGATACAAAAAGTCAAAAATACTAAAACCTAATTTAAGTTTCACTCGCTGAAACTCGAGGATACCATTTGTTTGCTGCTTCGGTAATGTCACTTTTGCTAATTTCAACAACCATCTCTAGCAAGCTTGGGTACGCTTTCATTTTCCAAGATTTTTGTTAACAAGTGTCATTAGCTCCTAACATGGCCTGGACACTGGTGAAGTTGTTAATCAATTAATGAGTAGAGAGAATGCTTTTTTTGAAAATCCTCCCAATAATTGCTTTGAACAAAATTTCGCAAGGACGATGCAGCGGGTTGTAACATCATTTTATGATGCTGCTACCACAAATTAAACCATAATCATGTTTATATATCGAGCTTGCGCTACGATGAATTTATATCTGTGGGCTTATCCGGTTTAATTTAATAACTGCGCAAGCCAGAAAGCAGAAGTTTTGGCAACAATGGCTCTTAATCATGCAGGCGGTCAGAATCTTGAAATCAACTTTCAAGTCTTTGCTTTGATATTTGATCCGAACTTATGGCTTACGAACTTTTTAATTGTACAAGGATTTCAGAGGCATATTAAGAAGCAGGTGCAGCACATGCGTTGTGCAGTAGGTTGTTCTAGACGCTCAGTGGCTGAATGCGCAGGCAGAAAAAGGCAATAGTCTTCCTCATTGCGATAGCACCTTGACGTACCCGCGGCGTTTGGAATTCGAAATCATAATTAGTCTTATTTTAAGAGTAAATCATTAATACCTAACTCAGGTGGAACGTACCAGACTTGCCGGTGCGATCACACGTTTTTGCACTAAACTCGTGGGCCGTCAATAGCAGGAATAATCCCTGCGCTGCAGTCAAACAATTGCGCTCATATTGGCCATACTTTGGTTTCTTCCGGCAGGCAGCAGAATGGGCATCGGTTGGGATGGGGTGTTGCATCACAGAGCCGCATGGATCTCCACGTACATGATTACCAGTTTCTTGCATGAAGCTCGATCGCTTTTTCTGTAATCCATTTCGCTACAAACATCTTTGAAATGTCATAAGTTGTGGCGTAAGTGCAAATCAGCACTCATTTTAGGTATACGATTTCCCATATGGGCGACAAACATGCTGACAAAATTTCAGCCACAATTTTCTGTCAAGTTTTCGAGTTAGCACAGTACCAAGTTGCAAACTTTGACGTGTTCGTACGCGCTGCACAAGCTTAAGCAGCAGCTGAATTTAAAATTTTTAGCTCGCACGTGCACAGAGAATATTCCTGCAAAGTTTCAGCTTGGTAACTTGCCTGGTTCGCAAAGTTGTTTCTTGCCAAATAAATTTGCATATTTTTTTTCGAG